TTTTTTATCTTATCTTTATATAAAAGTGAAAATCAAAATGAACTAATATTAAATATCTTGATATTTTTATCGTTAAGACAACTTAATTTTTTACAACTCTATTTTTTATAGATAATTTCTTATTTAAAAAATTTTGAATAAATGTTAATCATTTATAATGAAAAGATGAATAATTAAGATTTTATGTAAATAATATTTATAAAAGTTGTGTATAAGTGAATTTTAACATATATTTAGGAAAAATGTTTATCAATGGTACTTGTAAAAAATTAAATGAAAAAATACTTTAAAATTATGTCTTTTTAATAAATTTCTATTGAGGAAAACCAAAACATTCTAATTTTTAAAGCAAGGATGAAACTGTTGTCTTTTCTTAAAGTATTTTATTTAAATAATATAGTTTTGCGTGTTTAATTTTTTTACATGTCCAGCTAACAAACGCTAATATTATATATATATATATATGTAGGATTGCAAAAAAGGTTGACAAACACTAATATTATATATATATATATAGATATGTATGTATGTATATAGGATTGTAAAAAATCAAGAAGTCTTGACAATTAAAATGTTAAGACTTTCTGTTAAATTATTTAAATACACATAATAAATTAACGCATAAAAAAGATTCATTAAAGAAATTTAAATAATTTTATATGGATTCCTAACAATTTAGGATATTTGATTTTTACTTTTTAATATATATGTGTGTGTAAGATTAATGTTTGTCAGCTGAATTTCAAAAAAATTAAAAGGAAGATTATTTTAAAACTATATCATTTTATTAAAGTATTATAAGAAAATATCAAAATAAACTCATTTTTAGTTTAAAATAGGTTATTTTAATCTTTTTCAATAAAAATTTATTAAAACAATGTAACTTTAGACCTTTTCCCTCTTAATTTTTTAGAAATCCAGCTGATAAACATTTTTTCCTATATATAAAAGTAAACATCTACTTATATATAAGTTTTACTCATTATAATTATTTAAAATCTTAACCATTTATTTTTTCACTTCCAATAATTGAGATTTATTCATTTTTTATCATATACATTAAAGATAATTATTTTTTATTTAAAAATTTGTGACAAATTTCAATTATTAAAAATGAAAAGATAAATTATTAAGATTTTAGTAGTGTATAAGATTTATATCTAAGTAAAGCTTTACTATATATTAGAAAAAATGAATATCAATCCCAACTCTTAAAAAATTGAAGTCTTAATTTTAAACAATGTCATTTCATTTAATAAAAGTATAATATAAATATAGCGAATTTCAGCTATTTGATTCAATCAATTCTTTTTTTTTTATACACATAATTGTACATTTATTTGTTTTTAATTTTAAATTAAAAATAATAATTTTTAACAATTATATT